ATTAGGTGATCCAATATTCTTAAAAGTTTTATTTGTTCTAACTTCCACCAACATTCTTCCTCACCACACTCGCTGTATACAATAGAATAACTTTTACTGGAAATCCTTAGTAAATGTTACTTTCACTACAGTAAATGTTAGAAATTACTAGGAAAAGTCGACAAATCTCTTTAAAATACCACATTCACTGGTCCAATGCGTAATTGCTAGCATTTCCTAGTGAATGTTAACAATCACTGAATTTCTAACTTTCACTGTAACATATACATTTATTATATTATATAATCTAACTAATCAATAAATATTTTTTACCAAACTACTTTAACTTAAATAGCAGACAAATAAATGGTTTAAGAATGGAAACCAGTTTGTCCTCCAATTTATTCTGATATATGTTGTCTGCAATGTAACAACTTGTACAAAAAAATTACAATGCAAACTGTCAATCTTTAAAGTTTAAAGGATATCGTGATAACATAACTTGTATACAGGGTGTTAAAAAATAGTGTATCTAACGTTGGTGGGTGATTCTACAGATAAAAATAAAACAAAAAGTTCCTATAAACATATGCCCTATACCTAATGCTTCCCGAAGAATTTACAGCCGTCAAAAGCTGAATTTTTCAGGAAGGAAGTACAAGTACACATGATATAGGGGACCCTTATTCTAAAGTAGTACAAAATTAAACCGGGAAAGGGCACTATCATCAAAAATCGATATAATAATAGTATAGAGAAAACAAATACTTATTTTTTGATCCAGTACAAATAAAGTCTTCGAGGAGTAATGTTTTATAATTATTTACAAAAACATTTCCATTGGCGCTTATGACCGAAAAACTTTAAGCATGAATAAGTCATTTTAATCATGCGAAAATTTGGTTTAAAAATGGATTTTTTAAATATAACTTTCATTTAACGAAAACGAGAGCCTAAATGAAAAAAGAAATAATTTATAAGTTTCGCTTATGTCTTGATTAGGTAACAAAGCAAACACCATATTTTTTTGCTTTTAAACTAATAAAGATATATCAATAAACAATTAGCGATGTGCGACTGCCGCCGCAGGCGCCGCGCCGCGCCGCGCCGAGACTTCCTATACGTATACACGTCATGACGTCATGGTGTGGCAAATGTAGCATTTTAATTCGATTTGGGCTCCCTTATATAGGATAACAGAAACATTTTCAATGTTAAAATATTAGAAATTAAAGAAACATAAAAGAAAAAATTGCGTTTGATTGAAATCGAATTAAAAAGAATTAGAAAAATAATACATTGAGTACACCAGTAGGTATATTATAAACAAAAATAATCAACAGGTGTAGACAAAACAACCACAAAACTTCAATTTGGCAATATCAATACTGGCAACCTTGCCATAACAATAACTCTGCACAAGGAAAAAAAACAAAAAAAAAACATACAATCGCGACGAAAAAAGTAAGAGAGCTTTAAAGAAAGGCACACAAAATGTTCACACCCGAAAGCACCCCCAACATACCAAAATGCCCTGCATGGTTAAACCTTCCTTCTTTCATTAATTTTTCTGTACTTTAGGCAATTTGCCTGGAATTTGATATCTATAGGAAAAATACGACCACACGCAGATATATTCCTAATGAATCACATCATAGTGTTGAACATAAAATGGCTAGTTTAAATTTCTTAGTTCATAGATTACTTAGTTTCCCACTTTCCAACGAAAGATATGAAATAGAAAGAGATTACATTAGGAATGAGCTGAGTGTAATGGATATTCTCCTTCACTAGTTGATAAAATAATTAGAAAACGTAGGTATAGGTTAATGATTTCTGAAAATTCGACTTTTCAAGTGGAGAAAGATACGTCAAAATATTTTTCAATACCGTTTGATAGACAGTTATCCCGTGATCTAAAAGGAATTTTTAAGAATGCCAATTATAAACTTGTGTATAGTGCTAATAATAAATTACAACAATTATTAGGTAATCCAAAGGATAAAACACCTCTACTGGAAAGGTCGGGTATTTATGAAATTTCTTGTAAAGATTGTAATCAGAAATATGTTGGGCAAACTAGAAAATCAATATTAACTAGAATTAAAGAACATTTAGCTCAGATAAGATATGGTAGACCTGATAAATCTTGCGTTGCCGAACATATTGTTGATAAAGGACATTGTATAGATCTTGATAACTTAAAATTACTTAAACAAGTCTCAAATTACAGGCAATTAGATGCATATGAAAGCATCAGAATTAATAAATGTAAAGATAGTGTGAACAGAGACAACGGTCCAATTCCTTCAAGTTCTTTGTTCCTACTACTCTAGTGGCGGAAATCTAACTGTTACGCTCGATGGGTTCTGACTCGGTTGGCTAGATCTTGCCACGCCCACTCTGTGTCCACTGAGCGAGTATATAAACGCTCCAATTGTAGATTGTACTTTAGTTTATTATCATCTGCTGATGATGCTAACATGGTTAGCGAAACGCGCGTCCAGTGTAAAAGTAAAAGTGTTTTGGTGTATTGTGGTGATTTAGTGTTTTTATTTTGCTGTTTAACACCAAAGGTTCCAACCCTCAACTGTAACAAATAATTTCAAAAAAAGATTTAATTTTTATTGATATCAGGCCCACTTTTATGATTCCATTATTTGTTTGTTTATGGCGATGCCAACCAGCCTGCACATAAGAAATTGACTAGGGTTCTTAAGAGCACCACAAACATGGGGAAAGAAATTTATTTTATTATATATTTTTTTTAATTCAACCGGTGTCAGTACGACACAAACCGAGCATCGGTGTACATCGGGCAAAAAAATACCCGTTAAGTTTCTGTTTTTTCTTCCAAATGTGGCTAAGTGTTGGCGGTTGGAACCGCCATGAATGTTTGTAGGCATAATATGGATTAATACAGGGTGACCCATCGCAAACGTTCCGCAAGGCATAACGGCCAGAGTAATTTTTTTTCAGAAAATTCAAAAACACGTCAATTTTGTTTGTGAGGGGGACAACTTTTGCCCCAAAAATGATTGCAAAATATTCAACCCTCTAAGCGGGGGCGTCATCCCCCAACTTTTTTCACATGGGAAGTGGCACCGCAATGAAAAGATCTTTCAATTCTCTATATTTCCCCGCTTCGTTTTTGAAAATCGGTCGAGTCATTGAGAAAATTGAAGGATTGAAATTTGAAAAGTATTCAAACATTTATCAGAGTAAATGATAAGGATAAATTCCTTCGACCAATTTGCTGTTTTTTCTTATTATTTCTAGATGTTTACGCATTTTTTCACTTGCCACAAGGTTGAACGATCAGGTGGGGTAGTTGCTAGATAGCTGTTCTGTGACTTGTACGTAGAAGTTCTTCTCAATATCGTTAAACTTTTTAACAATCGTGGTGTACTCACTTGCAGAAAAAGTGGAAATAATCGAACTTTATTTTAAAAATAATGAATGTATCGGGTTGCGCACATATTCATTGAACGCTATCCTGACAAACACCTCTATGGCAAAATTGTTCGCGAGTTAGTAGCAAAATTTCGCGAAACTTGTTCCGTTATGAACAAAAAGAGGCAGAGGGAAAATCCTGTAGTAAATGAAGCTATGGAGGTATTCATATTGGGCCAAGTTGCCATGGATAGTACACTAAGTACAAGAAAATTAGCCAATGAGACCGGCGTGAATCGTACAAGTGCCCAAAAATATTTAAAAAAAAAACAGAAGTTGCACCCGTACAAAATTCAGTTGGTACAAGAACTCAACGATGACAATTTTGATCGTCGCTTGCAATTTTGTGAAACTATAAGTGAACGAGTGGCAAATGATCATAATTTCCTATTTAATGTGTGTTTTTCGGATGTGTGTACTTTCTTTTTGAACGGTGTAGTTAATCGGCACAACTGTCGGTACTGGACTGAGGACAACACCAGGGTTTTTCACGAGGTGCACACACAAAACCCTCAGAAATTGAACGTGCGGGCTAGTATTTTTGGAAATTCTATTGTGGGTCAGTTTAACGATATTGAGAAGAACTTCAACGCACAAGTCACAGAACAGCTATCTAACAAATACCGCACCTGATCGTTCAACCTTGTGGCAAGTGAAAAAATGCGTAAACATCTAGAAATACTAAGAAAAAACAGCAAATCTGTCGAAGGAATTTATCCTTATCATTTACTCTGATAAGTGTTTAAATAAACTTTTTAAATTTCAATCCTTCATATTTTTTCAATTGATTCGACCGATTTTCAAAAACCAAGCGGGGAAATATAGAGAATAGAAAGCTCTTTTCATTGCAGTGTCACTTGATCCCCCTTCCCATTTGAAAAAAAGTTAGGGGATAACACCCCCGCTTAGAGGGTGGAAGATTTTGCATTCATTTTTGCGGCAAAAGTTGTCCCCCTCACAAACAAAATTGACGTGTTTTTGGATTTTTTTTAAAAAAAAGTACCCTGGCCGTTATGCCTTGCGGAACGTTTTCGATGGGCCACCCTGTATATGTTTTGGGTAAGTGGCCAGTTAATTTTATTTTGATATATTTTTAAAAAAACTGCTTCTCCTATAGTGCCTGAAGAAGCGACAATAAAGTCGCGAAACGTCGCAAAAACATTGTTTTCTTTCGAGCCTTCCCAAACACCCACGATTTTTTTTCCTTTCTGCGTAATAGCAAAAGCTATTTTAAAGAACCAACTTTCTTAAAATTTTCGTTTTCCCGACGGTACTAGCTCTTGTACTGTTATATTTTTATTAAGGTTAGATTAAATTTATCAAAAAAGTGTCAAAACGTCCGTTATCGTACGATCTTTCTCCGTTGACGGGCTGGAGTAAAAAAATTTCGGATGACCAATCACCATCGTATTAACGAATAACGGACGCATGAGAATCAAGCTTTTGAAAAAAAAACTTAAAATAAAATGACTTATGTCATATTGAAATAATTACGGAAGTTTTCAGTGAGTTTGCAGCTCCTGTGTCTGAGATATAGTAACTTTCACTTCTTTCCTCTCTTCTCTCAGGTGCTGCAACTGGAAGTAGCCCTCCTCGTCTGGATAGCGTTCTGGGCAGCGCTAGTCCTCGCTCTCCCCGTGGGGGTGGCGGTGTCTTTATGCGCCCCCTCCAAGGGGCGACGTTTTAGCAACGACCTGTCAGAGGGCTCCCAAGCGGGCAAACGTAGCTGGACGGAGAAAAGTTTCGTGTGTTTGCTGCACGTTCTTCTGCTAATCGTACTGTAAGGAGTATTGTAGTTTTAACTAGAAAAATATTTAAGAAGTTAGTGTATAGCAAGAAATGTAAATTTTGTAGTTTCGTTTTTGCTAACAGTCAAGATAAACACGAAACGTAGTCATTTTTTTATAGAATTCTAAAATGAAATATTTAATAATAGAAAAATCTAGAGTGTGTACGTCTCCAGATTGTTTTTACAAGAGAATTATTTTATTTAGTTATTAACTTTTTTTAGAAAAATGCATTCAACATTTATTTATAAGGTTTTTGGTTGTTCAAAAATGGCTAATCCCGTTTATAATTTTCTAAATTTCCATACAGTTAAAAAATATATGAAAATATGGTTGAATTTTATAGTTGAACTACTATATATTGTGTGCTAAGTCGGGTACAGACGTACCTTCTTTTTCTCGAAGGTATTAGCGGCACTTTTGACCACCCTGTAACTTAGTTATGGATAAAGCAAGAATATTAATTTTCATTACACATGAAGACATACTCTAGCTGGCTAGGTTACCAAAATATCTAGTAATTACACCTCATAATTTATGAATTATCCCTTGTCAAATTTCTTTAATTTCGACATTGACTCACTAACAGATCATCAAAATTCTAAGGTACTTCTAAATGTGTCACTAACTTCAAATTTCGAATTTTAGGTAAATTTAAACTAATAATGAAAGGAAAAAATTAAAAATCTTGAAATATCCTTATGGATCAAAAGTTAACTGTTTGGCCGCTACCGGTAACCGACTTTCCAGCGATGATAATAGGAAGACCGGTGATAGGATTGTTTTAAAAATTTGAATTTTCATATGTATATTACACCTGCTCCATATCTCTGTCCATATATCTAAAATATTATCAGTGTTACAGTGTTGCCGGATCATTAGAAAAGTGATAGCATCTTTGTTATTTTAAATAGAACACCTAGTATATTATTACATTTTTGGAAACTACTCTCATATCTCAACATTTTTTTATTATACTATCCTATATATAAAATGAATAAAATTGATGACATGATTTTGAGTACATGATTCTGAATAAGCAATGGTAAAATCATGAATTGAACATTTTTAAGGTTGATATTTGGGTTATAACGAAAGTCGGAAACACAAGTCGTTAGAAAACTAGAATTAATCGATTAGATATTATGTGACTTTAAGCGATAATTCAAAGTTTATGAATTATTGCTAGTCAAACTTCTTTAATATTATTTTGAATGATATATTACCCGACAAAAAAAATAGAAGGATAATCTACAAAAAGAAATGAAATGACATCAAAAAAAATAGAATTTAAAAAAATGCCAAGTTTCGCATTATAATTCTTCCACTATAAAAAGTTTGTGACGATTTTTCTGTCGTTACCCAAATAGAATGAAAAAAGAATCCGTTGCTCAGGGTTAGAGGAAAGCTGGGTTCGTAGGTAAGGCTTCTGACTCACAGTGACTTTCTAATGTTGATAAATATTAAAATAAAAAAATGATAATATATAGGCTGCAGAGATTTTAATATTGATGTCAAGAATAGGTATGGTCAAAGACAGTGAAAAGGGCGCCAAGTTTATGAGAGTGGTAAAGTAAGAAACCAAAAAGAAAAATACGATATCACAACTTAGCTAAAATAAAGTAATCAACAGCATTAAGGGTCTATTATGTTTATCAGGAATAAAAGTCAGAAATAACTATCCTACATTAAACATTTATTGAAAACGAATCATCAATTAGTCACAGTGATCCCAATAAAACCGCAAGTTATTTTAAATAGATTTGAATTTAGTAACTGTATTCTTTGAACTAAGTAAGCTACTTAATATAAAAACAGGTGAAATTTATGTATGTCTCAATACGATGATGTTTCGAAACATGTCGTGTACAAAAACCTTTAAAATGAATACGTGTTAATAATTTTCATATAAAATATCATAGCTAAGTAAGAGTGTACTGTACGAATCAAATTATAACTTATAACGTTAAATAAAAAATAATTTTGACTACAATATGTGGGATGTTAATGATAATTTACCAGGTTATTAAAACTGTTGTCTCAAAAATTATAAAATAAAAGCGTACCTTGTGTATCAAACTTAAGAGAGAGAGAGAGAGAGAGACTTATCTGTATATAGTTTCTTATGATGTAAACAGGTAGGTAGGTATTCTCCAGACTAACAGAAGTGGATGCAGATGACTATGGCAGGAGAAGTCTTCGATATCAGCCAAAAGAACGATTGTAATATCAGGAACACTGTCTTAAGATCTGCATAGGTCCATACAAAATGAAAGTGGGTGAAACATACAATAATCACTGCATTATTACTGCATACCATGTGGTAATTACTGAGTACCATGTGGTAGTTACTCTATAAATAAAAAATAGTTCTCAGGACAGATACTCAATAAAAAAAACAACTTACGGTCTGAAAATCAGCTTTACATAAATATATTCAAACCATATGTCGATCCAAACCAGTAATTAAATACTCAAATAAACGAAATAAAAAACGGAAATAACTGAAATAGAATTTAGTTAGATAGGGCTATATAAAATGGCGGATTACGGTGATCATTCCAAGAAGAAACCAAACAAATACGATCTATACTCTGGATTGCATACTTTACAAGGTTTTCAAATTCTCAAATCGGATACCCATGCAATGGAAATCGAAAAGTGGATTCAGAGTGCTTTTCACTGGAAAATTTGTCGGACGCCGAAACACGCGTCTTCTTCAGATCCAAATTCCCAGAAAGAAAGAAAAAAGTGATATCATATGATCGAAATCATTAGAACAGAAAATCGCAATCCACAGCGAAGTGAGATTTGGACAAGTGAAATGCAATTAAGGAAGTTTGGCATATAGCTAATAGATGGCGCTAATAAACAAGACAAGTGAACTGTAATAAATGAAGTTTGACATCTAGCGGATAGATGCGCTAATAAAAACTAAATATCGAGACAAGTGAGCTGTAACAAATGGACTTTGGTATCTTTGGCATCTAGCAAATAGATGGCGCCAATACTAAGAAATTTAAATAAAAATAGATTTTTAAATTCAATTTTATTAAAGGAAATAAAAAATGCTACAAGTTGTGAGATCTCATGTCAGTTTATTTCATTTAGTCTCTCCTTAAGCACCTATTCAACAATTTTGTTAAAAATTGTTAGTATCAATATTAGTCATATTTATTTCTGTAATAATTATAATTACTTGGCAATTGCACGATATGATATTCTATTCGAACTAAAAAACTTTATTTTTAAGGGCACTGTTTACATTTACTTAGTAATCGAGATGGTAGATTATTCTTTTAAAATTATGGTGTTGTGTAATTACAATTATAATTATTAATAAAGGTGTCTAATATTGATACTAACAATTTATAACAAAATTATTTAGTAGGTGCTTAAAGAGATACTAAATAAAATAAACTTGATTTTACTTGAGATTAGTGGAAGAACTGTGTTGCGAGACTTGGCATTTTTTACATTCTATATTTTTAATGGGATTATAAACTTACTTTATTGTCATTATGATGCTTGGACAACTCAACTGAACTCAACTGAACAGCGTAACGTCTTCATTCATTCTTTTTTGCCCTCTCTTATGATTTACTTTTTAATCATCCTACATAATGATATTTACAACAATAATAATTAAACAAATTCCAGATCTTAGTCTGACGTCAACTTGTTTTAGTTTAATTTTTATTGTGCAAATAATTTGTTTATAGAAATATATTTTATTTAATATATTGGATGATTTATTTTAATTCTTGCTCTTGACATTATGATTAACGTCAGTTTATACAGGGTGGCCCATCGAAAACCTTCCGCAAGGCATAACAGCCAGGGTATTTTTTTTTCGAAAAATCCAAAATCACGTCAATTTTGTTTGTGAGGGGGGAAACTTTTACCCCAAAAATGATTGCAAAATCTTCAACCCTCTAAGCGGGGGTGTCATCCCCCAATTTTTTTCAAATGGGAAGGGGGGTCAAGTGGCGTCGCAATGAAAAGGGCTATTATCCTATACAGGGTGAGTTTCCTACGATGTTCTCTATGGGTATCTTGGAAACTACTGGAGATAGAGAGTCGGTTAAATAGGGAAAGAATTGAAATTTTGTGGGGTCATAAATATGCGCCTTTCAGATTTATGAAAAACTTCATGGCTTACTTGAAATTTTGAAAAAAAACAAATTTCGGCTATTTTAAAAATTGTCCCTAATAAGCTATTTTAGACAAAAAGTTTTCAGATAAAAGTTGTAGATAACCACATCCCTAATGAGATCGTGTCCTCTGTTTTTTTCTAAAGCTTGTCATTTTTGACATATCACACAAACATATGTTTTTTTAAATGGAAACCATAGTTGGCCATGACTTCATAAAAAGCGGCATTTTTTAAGTTTTTAGCGGTATAAGCTATAATATGTTTTCTTCGAAAAATTACTGAGTTATAGCCAATTCTTATCATTTTTAAACAATTTCACTTAGTTAGCCATGGAAACAAGTTCAATCGCCGTAACTCTCAGAAATGTGAAGCTGTCACATTCAAACTTTGTAAATTAAAATAAACAAAAATTGTAAATATGAATTTCTCAAATGAAGAAAAGCGTGTAGATACTCGCACATCAATAGAGTGTTTCCAAAATGACCTTGATTATGCCCCCCCCCCCACCCCGCATAATGAAAGAAATGTTTAAAATTATTGATATCATAGTAATATAAACTCAGGGATTGGAAGAGGTGGACTAATTGCATGGGCCTCCTCGATCACCTGACCTATCCATTTTAGATTTTTTTATGCGGTATGGTTAAAAATAAGGTTTACAACAGAACTTATGAATTAAGGGAGGCACACGAAGTGGCGGTACGAGAGAAGTTTAATTAAATCAACCGGTCCTTTTGTGAGAATAGGTAATAATTCAGTTTTAAAAAGATGTAACTCAAAACAATGGAATTTTTGAACATTTTCTAAAATAACTTAAAGTGTATGCAGTGACTCGACTGCAGCGATATTATTTTTTTAAGTTTTAGTTTGTGTAATGTAAATTCTAAAGAACCGTTTAGTAATATATTCTGACTTTTTATAAGTTATAAATCACAAAAGAATAAGAATGCCATGCAATCTAAGTGAAATTAGTCAAGAGAAATAAGAATTGGCTGAATAAGAATATACTGTACCAGCTCAAACCTTCTCTCAAACGGAATGTATCATACTAACAACGTCAGACAAGGAATTACAGACTAGAGCAACAGAGGCTGAAAAAGGTTAACCGAGCCTAAACACCTCAACAAAATTCACCCTAGCTCAACCCTAACTAAAACCCTAACTAAATTTAACTTTTCTAACAAGTCTTGAAAATCGTTCTCTAAAAAACATAACATTCACCGGTCAACGTATCCTCGAAAATGTATGGTCAAGAAAAGTTGAACCAATAATCTTAAGGTGCGTATTCATTATCCGAACGAACGAACGAACGAATGAAAGTGCGGTATATTTAGACGGGGACCGAACGCATGCGGCCGTTCGTTCGTTCGCTCGGCCATCCGTTTCGAGTCGGTACATCAAAGGCGTTCGGTATCGTACGGTCCTCGTCCATACCACTAGCGAACATTCGTTCGTTCGTTCGTTCGTTCGTTCAAAAATGACACTTTTTATAAAGTCATGGCCAACTATGGTTTCCGTTTAAAAAAACATATGTTTGTGTCAAATGTCAAAAATGACAGGCTCTAGAAAAAAACGGAGAACACAATCTCATTAAGGATGTGATTATCTACAACTTTTATCTGAAAACTTTTTGTCTAAAATAGCTTATAATGGAATTAGGGACAATTTTTAAAATAGCCGAAATTTGTTTTTTTTTCTAAATATCTAGTAAGCCATGAACTTTTTCAAAAATCTGAAAGGCGCATATTTATGACTCCACAAAACTGCAATTCTTTCCCCATTTAACCGACGGTCTATCTCCAGTAGTTTCCGAGATACCGATAGAGAACATCGTACGAAACTCACCCTGTATATTTATTCTCTATATTTCCCCCCTTCGTTTTCAAAAATCGGTCGAGTCATTTTGAAAATATGAAAGACTGAAATTTGAAAAGTCCTTTTTTTGCAAAAAACGCATAAATTGAATTAATTAAAAAAACTTATCTTATTAATGAAGAAAAGGCTGAAAATGTTGCCCGTCAACCTCCATACAGTAATACAAATTATTTTCAACCCGTTCTAGAATATTCTGAAGAACTTGCGGGGTCACTTAGCAACAAACATCAATAATTCGTCTTCGCAGGTCTTCTAATGAGGCGGGTGGAGTGCTATACACTTTACTTTTTATGTGTCCCCATAGAAAAAAGTTTAAAGGAGTCAATTCGGGTGACCGGGAAGGCCACTCAATTGCACCCCTTCGTCCTATCCACCGAACGGGAAAGTTATTGTTTAAATAATTAATTACGTACATTTTGAGAGTAATGTGGAGGTGCACCGTCTTGTTGACATATTAGTTCCGCTTCAACGTATCCAGGATTGTTCTCTATGATGTCAGTTAGGGCTGGGTCGATGGTATTTTCCAATAAATCCAAGTACATATCACCTGTTAGATTTCCAGGAAGAAAAAAAGGACTCACAATATAATTTCTAAAAATACCAGCCCACACGTTTAATTTCTTAGGGTTTTGTGTGTGCACCTCGTGAAAAACCCTGGGGTTGTCCTCAGCCCAGTACCGACAGTTGTGCCGATTAACTACACCTTTCAAAAAGAAAGTACACTCTACCTAACCCGATCGTTCATCCTTGTGACAAGTGAAAAAATGCGTAAACATCTAGAAATAATAAGAAAAAACAGAAAATTGGTCGTAGGAATTTATCCTTATCATTTACTCTGATAAATGTTTAAATAAACTTTTCAAATTTCAATTTTTCATATTTTCTCAATGGCTCGACCGATTTTCAAAAACGAAACGGGAAAGTATAGAGAATAGAAAGCCCTCTTCAATGCGGTACCACTTGACCCCCCTTCCCATTTGAAAAAATATGGGGGATGACACCCCCGCTTAGAGGGCTGAAGATTTTGCAATCATTTTTGGGGCAAAAATTGTCCCCCTCACAAACAAAATTGACGTGTTTTTGAATTTTATGAAAAAAAAATTACCCTGGCCGTTATGCCTTGCGGAACTTTTTCTATGGGCCACCCTGTATATACATAATGTTTTTTTTTACTTTTTCTCTAAAACGGTATGGAAATTTGGAAAAATATAAACGGGATTAAAACCATTTTAGAACAATCAATTATTTTATGAAGAATGCATTTTTCCCAAAATATCAATAATAAAAAAAAATCTTGTAAAGACAATCCAGGGAAGGCCGTATACATTGTGAGTAATTCTAAACTGGTAATTATAAAGTAAAGGTTTTAATTACCTTTAATTGAAACCATTAATTTAATCGACTAATTTATTCTTACAATAAAAAAACAATTCAGTTTCTGAAAGCAAAACAATCTCAAGTAGTACATCAAAGCAACACATCAGTGTTCTAAACACCACCAGCAATGTAGGACATATTCTGGAAATGTCCAAACATTCTTTCTATTTCAATTTACATGCCTATGCTTCCATACTCCCGTAAGCCATTTTAACCGTTTTACACGCACCGATAAATTATATCGGCATTGTAGTGCGACAGATATAAAGCGACAGAGCGGTGGCGGTATAACGGCCGGAGGCTTGACCAATGCCCGGTGTGTTGCAGGTTTCCTGCCGGCCTGATCCTGGCCGCCAACGAACAGATAGCCCGATCGATAAGCGCCGTGCCGATCCAGACGATTTACGACGATTTGGCCGTTTTCGTAAGAAATGCCCACATGCAAATGGCCTTCGTTAGCACGTCGTCGGCGGATATCGCCTTCGAAACCATCAGGAAGGATTTGGAAGGTAGGTTTTGTTGTAACAATTAAAACTAAAAGAGTTTTGGACTTCCATTGCCTATATTTATTTTGCTTAGACAACGTTTCGGTCAGAAGTATCACTGACCGTTAGAGGAAAGTCGCCTAATATGAGGTACTTTTTTTGAAAACACTGTATATAAAAAACGTAATAACTTTTGGACACATTTTATGCATTTAGTAAGAAGAAACAGGTTAAAAAGAAATAGAGAAAAGAAATATGCAGCATTAAAAAAAAGATTCCCTACCCCATATTAGGGGAATAGGGTATCCTAATATGAGGTACACTAGGTTCGTAATATGGGGTACAATTTATAATGTAAAATTTCAAAAAAACTTGAATTATTTTGGGTTGTTTTGGATTAAAACTATTTATTTATAAAACTGACATATAAAAACTACACCTAACAAAAAGTTATTTTTTTTATAATGAGTCAAAAAACTTACTTATCTAGGAGTAACATAAAATACATCTGTTAAAAAACTACATCTAACAAAAATGTATTTTTTCTTATTATACATCAAAAAATATTATTTGCTTTGCATAAGCTATATGCCAATCTTCACACGTCTTTTTGTGTAATTCCAAAAAATCTTCTTTCCATTTCTAAACAGTGACCGGCGAGCATTGACTCCATTTCCTCCGAAAAGACTATTTTTCGTCCTAAATGAGAATTTACAATGTCTTCAGGACTCCCTTCCATCTTAACGTACCTTTCTGAGGTCGTTTGAGGTACATTGTGAGTCCGAGCACTCTTCATGTAGCCCATAACTCCTTGCCGAACAGCTAAAATTGCGGAAATAATTTCTTCCTTATTCCACGCTTTCCGTTTTTTAGGCATCTGAAAGAAAAAATTTTGGTATTACACAAAATAGGAAATAATCTCCTAATATGGGATACCCCAAATTAGGAATTGGCAGGTACCCCATATTAGGAATAAACTAGAATTTTGGGAGGGCGGCTTTTTTTCAAAAAGTGTGTTTGTATTTTAAAAACCTAACTATTTTCATCAAAGACATTATAAAGATAGACCGAACATCTCATTCATAAATACTCGTTGGAAGTGTATCAAACATTCCAATGTGTCAAACAAGGACAGAAGAGACAGAGAAGTCTAAAATTTCCGACCCCGGCAACTAGGCGCATTTGGATTGTTCTAATGGCCAGTGGCGTATAGTTTTTTGGAACGAATTTAATTAGTAAAGTAAAAGTAAAGTAATTAGTAAAATTTTTACTCCATATTAATATACTACATTAACACTTTTTCGCGTCAGATGAGTTTTGTTATAAGGTCTAATATAATAATATAATTAATATCCCATATATACTTATGTTGAAACGTTAGTAGGTAGTTTTCGAAAATCGCTACAACGTAGATTTTCAATTTAAACTTTCAGTTACTTCTATATAAACTTTCAGTTACTTTTGAATATTTACAGGGTGACTCAAGTTTCTGAAACAGTTCTATATTAGGTTTGTCGTTGGTGACTTTTCTTTCAATTTTTTTTCAGAATATGGAGGCAATGGTAAAGCACATTTTAGACATTATTGTAAACATAGGTGGCCGGAACATATTTTCAAACTACAGTTGGAGATTTGCCATTAAATTTCCATTCCAGAAATACCTAGGGTTGCCACCTGTGCTTTTTTGAAAAGGGCAGTCCTTTTTTGGAATAACTTGTCCTTTTGACTTTTTTTGACTTAAAAAGTCATTTTTATTTACGTATTTTCCCTGAGAAAATTACCTACAGCAAACAGAAATATTCTTTTCGTCCAAATTTAATTAGAGATGTTATAAAACTTATAAATAAATTTCTCTTGTTTAGAATAGGCAACATTATTTAGAACTTTCCGTTTAATCTCAAATGATAGTTTAGGTTTTAGTTTTACCTTTTTTGATCTTAAAAAGAACTTTTCAAAATTAGTAATTAATAACGATTTAGTTAGTTCGCAATCGATAGCTTCCTGTGAAGTACTGTGTAATAGTTGTTTAATCTTGTATTATTAGTAACTTTTCCTATACCTAAAATCAATATTTAATGAAAAAATTGTGCTTTTTTGAAAATATAAGACAAGATTTGACTTTCGGTCTTCTTCTTGTATTATGATGGCTCTGATACGAGGCAATTACCTTTTAGTCACTCAATAGAAGGCATTTATCATTAAAAGTATGAAATCTTCATCAGACAATCAAATTTTAGTTAAATGTCTCAATCTTCACGAACTGTATTAAGCATATGTATTGTATGTAATGTATGTATGTTGTATGTTGCTGTATGTTGACAAAAAATATTTTGAAAATGTGCGTTACAATGGCCCCCATCTTATGTATAAAATTGAAATAAAAATCACAAATCAAAAACGTAATAGGTAAAAAGCTTTTTTGGAGGCCTGGGTCACTCTGTATATAGGTATGTATAAAACTAGTAGCCTAAAAATTATTTACAGTTCGTCCCATTCTAAAAAAAGGTAAACACACCGTACAAATAACTCTAGGAAGAGGTATTTGTACGGTGGTAGAAAATTGTCTAAACAAGGCCGAAGAGGCAGATATAATAAAGCAGTAAAATGTAAAAAAGGTCGGGTAAACACCTTTGTTTATTTGTTAAGCAAAATTCCTTTAGAATATCGTATATAATGACCAAAATATAATGCAATTTTAAGAGAAAAAATGTCACTTTCTCGCTTATAATAAAGTTTCAAATGCAACGTTTATATTCAAATTTGTTATGATCTGCAACAGTTAGGTAGTAATTGAGACGAATTATAATTCAATTACCGGCTACTACGTTCTTGTTTTAATAGATCAAAATTCAACAAATATAATTAGAAATTATTTTGATTGTAAGGGGCTCCCTTGTGGAACGCCTATGTACAATTACGGTGGAAATTTGTACCTACCTGTGAGAAGACAAATTCGGGTAATTTGAGCTTATTTTTCCACACACTTGACACTGTCGTACCATATTGAAAATTCGCAGATTCAAAAGTACGTTAAACAAAAACAAAAACTACTGAAAAACACTGAAAAGTTCACTTCGAACTTGATTCCGACTTCAAACACACCGTAAGCTAAACGTAGTACACTATAACGGACCAAGGGCCGTCGCGAGGGGTGGTGGGACGGACGGCTCATTTTCATTCTCGAAGACTAGCAGCGACGTTGCCAATAGTTCTAGACGTTTCAGCACATTAAACAGTAAACATGTCCTTTAATAGTAACGCATATATCCTAGGGTTAATAACATATTATTACGCATGCTTCTTTAAAAATAAACTATTAATTTAATTAAGAAATTGAGATTTATTGATATCCGGTGAAGGTTTTAAAGTCACTTTTTCTGCAAATCAAACTAAGTAGATAGGCGCAAATTTGAGATGTGGCAATGTCGCCTTCTCTATCTCAGTTGGTTTTTACAGTACGTAGTCAATCTCCGATTGTTTGATCGGGTTAAAATGCACAATGTGATATCTGTTCTTCCTAAATCTATGATTTTCATAAACTACGATAAATTTTCTATAGAATAGTATTATCAAAACTTTAAAAACTAACCTTTAAGTCTCCTTAAACACCCAAAATGCAGCACGGCCAAAAAACTTTGCTTACTACACAAAACTGTTATAACCTCAAACGTCAAAACAGAGCACAAGTTTGGGCCAAAAAGAGAATGGTCACCTCCTGGCATGTCGGCGGTTAGTAAACAATGCATACAATAAATGTCGCACTCGTTTGGCACTTCCGCAAAAGCGACCTACCCCATATTAGGCGACTTTCCTCTATCAAGTGTGAACTAACCTAAATCCTAAAACTACTGAGCTTATATACTAGAGCCGAACATTCACCCATGAATTTATTGGGTGCAGTCAACTATGAGGTTTTCCACTAAGAACTACTGCATTGGAGAGTTTTATGATTGGTTGCCATATTATTGAAATTACCATTTCCATACTTGGATTGCTAAAGTACGAATACGACCTCTTTAAATTTGCGCTTTTTCCAATTTGGTTCTTTGTAGACAACCTGGGCTTCCGACCATTTTGTGTTGTGGTGCTTGGACCACACATGATCCGCAATGCCAGGTTTCATTGTTTCACCTCTTAGCGTATGTTTTTATGGTCATCAAGACTTACATGGAGAGGACGTTTTGTCTCTCCATTATACGACCCATCTCACTCGCAAGGTACCTGGTAGATGCACTCTTTCTCTTGGTTTGATGATTCATGTTTTGTTTTTTTAGGATACTTCTAAAAGTAGTCCCAGACTTAAAAACAGTTTTAATTTTATATTAATTAGCTATTCGCCTGATCTTTTCCGATCTTCCTTTCATATATGGAATCGTCAAGAGAAAGAGAGAGAGAGAGAGAGAGAGAGAGAGAGAGAGAGAGAGAGAGAGAGAGAGAGAGAGAGCATCCCCCTCAAACTGGCGTACCAGTGCAATTGGATATAATATTGTTTGGCGATTTTGCAGAGTAACCCTTCTAAAGCAAATCGGTTTTAATATTACTTAGTTCAGAATTCAGAGATGCTTAGTCACTACATATAGTGATTGCTCTATGACATAGTGTTTTAACTATACCTCTTCTGGTTGCTTCAGAATGGTTTGACTGAGAATTTAAATATTATCTCTTATGTGCGAGTTTTCTATATACAACAGTGCTAATGGATCCATCACTTCTACTGACAAGAAGATCCAGAAACGGTAGACAGAAGTTTTTCTCTTCCTCAATCGTGAATTTGGTTGAGTTATTTTGTGCATTAAGATGATTAAGAAAGGAATCCAACTGTCTATCGGTTCCGTTCCAAATTATAAAGGTATCATCAACATATCGAAGCCAGATTTTCGGTGTGATGACCGCCGTACTAATGGCATTAATCTCAAACTATTTCATATATATTCGCTATCACTGATGGAGAGAGCGAGGAACCCATAAGTAAAGCATCATTTTGAGCATTAAACTTTTCTTTAACTTGAAAATAAGAATTATGTAGACAGCACCTCAAGAATTGAGCACCTTGAATATTCCACATGTAAAAGGAACATCAAAAAATATCAGGCAAATAGCCAAAAAATACAACATTAAAACTGGCTTCAAATCTGAATCGACTCTAAGAAGTGTCCTAACAAAAACAATGCCGAAATCATTGAAACAAGAGAAAGAGTGCATCTTCCAGGTACCTTGTGAGTGCGATTAATCGTATATTGGAGACAATAAACGTCATCTAAATGTACGACATAGAGAGCACAAAAAATACATGTACAAAAAGGTAAAACAATGAAATCAGGTATTGCGAAAAAAACGTTTTCGCAATACCAATTTTTTTCATTTTTAATGGCACCTTCGGTATTTTTTAATTTTATTTGATTGAAACTGATACTCATATGTCAGCTTTTGACATTATCTCTTAAGTTGAATAGGCTGTGTTAAAAACACTAATTTTTAATCAAGGGCCCTTGGAAAAATAGATTTGATTGTCTAACGTTTTTAGTGTTTTGTCCTGACCGGTTAAAAGCCGTCCAAATCGTATTTTAAATCATATCTCATTTTTTTTTCAAATGGAACAAGGGTGGCTCATTAGTATATTTGAAAAAACCATTTTTAACGAATAATTTGGTACCACATTCTTGATATTTCGAGTCAAATTGTCTTTATGAACCGCCATGTTACAATTTCAAATAATCCATATGCGAAAATGTCAAAAGTTGATATATGATATGTCATTCTATTCAGAGTGTCATCTTCTATCGAATAGGGGTGCCATTTAAAAATCAAAAGTTGTAGTCATTTCCGGCGAAACAGGAACAATTATTGAACACGTCAATCAATCCTAATTTTATTTTTTTTATCTAAAAAATTAAAAAGTTATAGGGGTGAGCCATTTTTTAGAAGCACCCGGTATTTATACCTACATCATTTCTTTCTGAATTTGTATCAAATTGATTTAGTTTGTATATAAAATCATATGTAACTGAAGAAAATTCTACATATATTTTTTTATTTGAAATAACAATAATAATTTGCAGATATAGATTTATTACTTGGAGAGTAACCCTTCTGAAGCAAATCGGTTTTAATATTACTTAGTTCAGAATTCAGAGATGCTTAGTCACTACATATAGTGATTGCTCTATGAAATAGTGTTTTAACTATACCTCTTCTGGTTGCTTCAGAATGGTTTGACTGAGAATTTAAATATTGTCTCTTATGTGCGATTTTTCTATATACAACAGTGCTAATGGATCCATCACTTCTACTGACAAGAAGATCCAAAAACGGTAGACAGAAGTTTTTTTCTTTCTCAATCGTAAATTTGGTTGAGTTATTTTGTGCATTAAGATGATTAAGAAAGGAATCCAACTGTCTATCGGTTCCGTTCCAGATTATAAAGGTATCATCAACATATCGAAGTCAGATTTTCGGAGTGATGACCGCCATACTAATGGCATTGGTCTCAAACCATTTCATATATATTCGCTATCACTGATGGAGAGAGCGAGGAACCCATAAGTAAAGCATCATTTTGAGCATTAAACTTTTCTTTAACTTGAAAATAAGAATTATGTAGACAGCACCTCAAGAATTGAGCACCTTGAATATTCCACATGTAAAAGGAACATCAAAAAATATCAGGCAAATAGCCAAAAAATACAACATTAAAACTGGCTTCAAATCTGAATCGACTCTAAGAAGTGTCCTAACAAAAACAATGCCGAAATCATTGAAACAAGAGAAAGAGTGCATCTACCAGGTACCTTGTGAGTGCGATTAATCGTATATTGGAGAGAATAAACGTCATCTAAATGTACGACTTAGAGAGCACAAAAAAAACATGTACAAAAAGGTGAAACAATGAAATCAGGTATTGCGAAAAAACGTTTTCGCAATACCAATTTTTTTCATTTTTAATGGCACCTTCGGTATTTTTTAGTTTTATTTGATTGAAACTGATACTCATATGTCAGCTTTTGACATTATCTCTTAAGTTGAATAGGCTATGTCAAAAACACTAATTTTTAATCAAGGGCCCTTGGAAAAATAGATTTGATTGTCTAACGTTTTTAGTATTTTGTCCTGGCCGGTTAAAAGCTGTCCAAATCGTATTTTAAATCATATCTCATTTTTTTTCAAATGGAACAAGGGTGGCTCATTAGTATATTTGAAAAAAACATTTTTAACGAATAATTTGGTACCACATTCTTGGTATTTCGAGTCAAATTGTCTTTATGAACCGCCATGTTACAATTTCAAATAATCCATATGCGAAAATGTCAAAAGTTGATATATGATATGTCATTCTATTCAGAGTGTCATCTTCTATCGAATAGGGGTGCCATTTAAAAATCAAAAGTTGTAGTCATTTTCGGCGAAACAGGAACAATTATTGAACACGTCAATCAATCCTAATTTTATTTTTTTTATCTAAAAAATTAAAAAGTTATAGGGGTGAGCCATTTTTTAGACGCACCCGGTATTTATACCTACATCATTTCTTTCTGAATTTGTATCAAATTGATTTAGTTTGTATATAAAATCAGATGTAACTGAAGAAAATTCTACCTATATTTTTTTATTTGAAATACCAATAATAATTTGCAGATATAGATTTATTACTTGGAGAAGCTTATCAGCAAGAACTATCTACCGAAACAGGAATTGACCATGCCCTTATCGGTTTGGAGGAACTTAAATCAGGTATGCATGAATTAAACCTGAATTGTTTTAATTTACAATTACCTCCGTATCTTTTACGTTTACTTTTACTTTTACGTTGCACAGTTTCGAATTTGGGACACCTTATTCAATTATATCATTATTATAGATCATTTCCATACTTTAAATCATTTAGAATCATTTCAATAAAACGATAACATTTTATATCTCCTCCAAACTCTTTAAAAAATCTTCTTACAAGTCGCCAAGTCAAGAAAATTGCTTATATCGCACATTCTTCCGCTTTTTCTATTCTGTTCCAGCCGTGGCGAGGACCACTTCCGTCGTATCCGACTTACTGATCGACTGCGAAGTGGTGTCGAGGACGGGCGAAATCCTGCAGGACAAGCTGCAGGAAATGTCCCGGCAGCTGATCGCCATCCAGCAACAGTGCAACGCCAAAGATCGACCCTTGTGTTTTACGTTGCAGTTTTCTGGATTCGATCTGTCTTTGCCGGTGAAAAACGTAAGTAGTGGCTTCGATTAGGATACTTTAAGATGTTTTTGAGACTATTAGCCCAATAACTTAGGTGAAATTTGACGAAAAAATAAAAGAATTAGAGAGTTGAAACTTTTAAAGCGAAGTCAGTTTCAACGAGTTTTTTTTCGTCAATATTAAAGGGCCGTCCTATGCCGAAAGCACTGCGACCTGTAACACTTACTGTGTTTCTATGTCTGCACCCACTCTCATATCCCTGTTCCAGGCAGAAATAACAACACTCCTTTATTGCGTAGAAGAAATAATAAGGCAACAAAGAACCAATCGTTCTGTTCCGCGGAGGTCAATTCTAGACTAGTGTGGGAATGCGTGCTTGCTCTAAATAGTTTAGGCGCATTGTTACGTTGGCCTGGGTACCAGAACACGAGGGTCACAAGGCTAACGAAAAGGCAGATGAAAGGGCCAAGCAAGGCTCATTAATGCCATTCATAGGCCCAGAACTCTTCTGTGGCTTTGCAAAGAGAGTCACGAGAATGGCCACAGAACTATGGATATGCGGCGACCTTCTCGCAGTGGGTCGCAGTGGAAAAGGCCGAAAGCCACCTCTAGAAATTTGTGCAGAACATTAATTTATAAGATGGAAGCATAGTTCCTCCGGTTCTAGCCTCCTTTCCAAGTAGAAAGTTATATATATAGAATACTTGCGATCCAGAGCCTGTCACTGAGCACATATCATGTGATCCGCTGTTTCAGGATCTGTATCGCGGAGCCTGCAGGAAATACACATTATGTCCTATCAAGAGATCTGTTGTAATCTGCACTTTATTCCTGCTAAACATTAGCAATTTCTTTATGGTTTTAGAATTCGATCCTTGAATGAAGGTGTTGCTATGTCTGTACCACTGTCTGTTTCTCCACCAGCAGGGAGGGTCTGTTTTTCTCTGATCCAGAGACTATGAACCAACAAATAGCAATTCCTATATTTTGGTGTCCTCGTTCATCTTCGATTGTCCATGTTTTGTCCTGTATTCTCTGGTGAGGTACTTTATCTTTTTATACAGATCTCCTGGTTGATTTGTGAAAGAGTGAGATTCTATTTCCTGGCATATTGTTTCATAATAGTTGTTCTTGTCTATGGTGCAGCTGTGATTGATCTCTGTATTTATTTTTCTATAGATATTTTTCTCATCTTTTTTTTAAACCACTTTTCACTAATATTCGTTTTTGTTCAATATTTAGCAACGTGTTGTTAGAAATCCAATGTTTGTTTTTTGTTATTTATTTGCTGAGAAGTGGCATTACTCAGGTTCTCGTTGACGTTCCACGATGTTTTCAGTAGTTCTTGTTAAAAATGAGTTACGTCATGGATCTCCAGCTGCTTCGGTTTTGGTTTTCTTACAACATTTTTTAATTTTTTAGGAACCCTTTACTGACAGCTAATTAGAATAACATAAAACGGAGAATTGGGCCTACCAGGAAATGTTTAGCGCATTCCCAGTCATGCCATAATATTTCTTATACAAAAATTGTCGAGATTTAAGTTATCTACAACTGGTGTTATTTAAATGTGCCATTTATTGTTATTAGAAATATTCCAAAATTAAATAAAAAACGGTCAAATCGCAATTTTTAATAAACTATTAACAACACAATTTCTTAACAAGTCATTGCAATATAAAAAATTTTAGAGAATTTAATTCTCTACAAATTTGCTCATAACTTTTTTTGACATTTTTTGTCAAAAACAAGCTAAGACAGCGAAAAACATTAAATTCAAGATGGCGGACACTTCCCATTTCCAATTTATGGACAAGATTGTTGACGAAATTACAATCTTGTCCATAAATTGGAAATAAAAACGAATGCGTCAGAAGTTTCTATTTTTTTTGTTGAAAAATCCAACGTTATTGGGTTGCTTATTTGTGAAAATAGAAAATAAAACCATGAGTTATATTTTTAATTGAAAAAAAAGTATTTAAGGCCTCATAGTTGCTCGGCAGGTCAAAACCCTAAATATTGTAGCAGCACTAATGCAACTACAGAAGACAAATTCAATTAGAGATTATGCTATAAACAGATCATTGAATATATGATGGTTAAATTGTTTATTTAGTTAGTTATAGACAATCCGGAGAGTATACAAATTTTCCACGTCCCATTTTGGTGACACCAGCTGATACACACTGTACAATTATTGTTATTATTATTATAATATTATATTAAATTTCTTAAATTCTTTAGAAAGAAATTGTAAAATATATATTTAATTTTTTTCAAATCGATTTTTTTTTCATTACCGAGTATTATTACTTTTTACACCAGCTGTCAGTTCCATCTATCGGTTACCCTCTCATGATTTGTTGTTGGAATTGAAAAATGTATCTCTTGTAGCTTTTTTAATTTGTTCAATTCATCCGATTGACAAGTGTCTTCGAGCATTATGTCTCCTCTTTACAATTTCTGATTCTATTATTCTCTCGAAATTGTCGATGTCGATTCTTACGATATGTGTAAAGAATTTAGTATGTCTGGGATATAAAATTGGAAAAAGTCAATTCGTATTAAAATATGCTCTGCTCGTTGAGAATAGACTCATTTAAATACACTCCAAAAAAAACGTACGGAAAAATGTTTGGTCTAGATTAAAATATTATATTTTTTCTAATCTCAATTTTCTTGAGATTCTGGCAAACTGTATATAAATATATGAACTTTAATTCGTAAACTCAGTTTATTATAAACTTTAGTATTTGACTTATTATAAAGGTTAATCGAAGGGTTGTTTTTTGCCCTGTCATTAAAACACCCTGTGCAATAATCTCGTGAGAAAATTTTCCTAAAACATTATTTTTCAGTCAGAGCTATGCCTTCTAAATGTTTTGTTTTTTGACTGATGTCAACATATGCCTTGGTTAATTTTTAAAAGCAAAATGAACTTGCCACAAAAATTTTGAAATATTTTTAATTATTCTTACTTTTTGATGTTATTCTTCATTTTGACGAGGTGGCTTTATTGATTATGGTTTTGTACGATTGAATATATGGTTCTTAGTGTCAAAAATTGTGTCAGTCATTGATCTTTTTCAAAGATTATTATTGAAATTATGAATATTCCCTTGGTTCTTGAAGAACAATGGTAAAATATAACACAATATATTAGCCTCATTAAGAGTATGAACCGACTTCTACAGAAAGTTATAGCAGCCAGGGGAGGTAATACAAAGTATTAGAGTATTTTTGCAAGTTTTTTTTTATTTGTACACTTAGTTATTACAGTTATTTTTTTAATATCTTTAGTTCTGTTAGTGTTATTAATATTTATTAAAAAAGCACTGTTCATTAAAATGTTGTTCCTATGTTATAGGGCTTGTTACTCTCTACAATTTCCTGTCTCGCAATGTACCGTTTGTATCCAGGAAGTTTTCATAGTTTCATAGTTGTCGATTTTCGAAAGAAATCAGAATTATTTCGTATATTTTTCATTTTATTGATTTTATGTAAAGCACTGTTCATTAAAATGTTGTATCTTATGTTATAGGGCTTGCTTCTATCTACAATTTCCTGTCTCGCAATGTACCGTTTGTATCCAGAAAGTTTTCATAGTTTCATAGTTGTCGATTTTCGAAAGAAATCAGAATTATTTCGTATATTTTTTATTTTATTGATTTTATGTAAAGCACTGTTCATTAAAATGTTGTATTCTATGTTATAGGGCTTGTTTCTCTCTACAATTTCTTGTCTCACAATGTACCGTTTGTATCCAGGAAGTTTTCATAGTTTCATAGTTGTCGATTTTCGAAAGAAATCAGAATTATTTCGTATATTTTTTATTTTATTGATTTTATTTTATTGAAGGGTTTTTTTCATTTTATTGAAGGGTTTATAGTTTCATAGTTGTCGATTTTCGAAAGAAATCAGAATTATTTCGTATGTTTTTCATTTTATTGATTTTATGTAAAGCACTGTTCATTAAAATGTTGTTCCTATGTTATAGGGCTTATTACTCTCTACAATTTCCTGTCTCGCAATGTACCGTTTGTATCCAGGAAGGGTTCATAGTTTCATAGTTGTCGATTTTCGAAAGAAATCAGAATTATTTCGTATATTTTTCATTTTATTGATTTTATGTAAAGCACTGTTCATTAAAATGTTGTTCCTATGTTATAGGGCTTGTTACTCTCTACAATTTTCTGTCTCACAATGTACCGTTTGTATCCAGGAAGGGTTCATAGTATCATAGTTGTCGATTTTCGAAAGTAATCAGAATTATTTCGTATATTTTTTCCATTAACTAAATTTTAACACCGTTACACCTAAACCAAAATATATGAAAAAGAAACCACAATTTAAACTTAATATAAATAGATAATTATTTATTTATTAAATCAATAATTATATTAAAATATAACACTTACGACGTTACTAAATATTAACTGTTTCTACTTAATCATCTAAAAAAACACGTTTGACTATTTATTTTAGAAATCATACGGGCTATAATCATTAATGTGACTATATTAATAATACTTAAATCAAAATTTGTTTGAAGGAATGCTACTGTATTAGAATAATTATTGTAAAACAAGTATGTAATATGTAATAATACCTCGGAATAATTATTAAAAACTACTCATCGCGTTACAGATGTCGGTGTCTTGTCTCTATTATTTTATTAGCCGTTTAGCTATAATTTGATTTAAGATAATGCAGATTTTAATGTGCCATTTGTCTTTTTTTATTGGAATTATTATTTTTAGCATATTTGGTATACTCTATGAAGGGATTTTAAGTGCTCCTGTCCATTTTTCAATTATTAAAGTGCCTATTTAGATACATTTTAAATTAATTGGTGTATAGTATTTGTATTATGGGTATGTTTATTTTTTATGAAATGTATTTTTTTCCTATTAAAATAAACATAGCTTACTAAATCACTAGCTAGTCATTTTTAAATACAGGGTGTTAATTAAGTATCTGGCCAAACTTCAGGAGGTGATTCTTTGAGTGTTTAAGGTAAAAAGTTCATA